ACTGTGGTGACCTGCCCCTCCCCGGTTGCTGCAGCTGGCGCTGGCCCGCGGCTGCGTCGAGATGAAGTTCACGGTGGCGGAGTGGAACGTCCGGGCCCTGGCATGGTACCGGCAGCTCGGGGCCCAAGACAAGACGGAGGCGGGCGGCTGGCACTGCGTGGAGCTGGGTGGCGAGGCCCTGCAGAGGCTGGCAGGGGACAGACGGTGATCCGGGGCCACGGGGAGGCGGGCTGATGCGGCCACCGGTGCCAGGCAGAGGTGACGGAGCTAAACCAGCCGGAGCCCTCCGGGCCCCACGGCGTCCTGCGTCTGCCCCTCCCCAGCCCTCCATCCGTCCCTCTATCCCACACAGCCCTCCATCCATCTCCCACAGCCCTCCATCCGTCCCTCTATCCACACAGCCCTCCATCCATCCATCCCCCACAGCCCATCCCCCTCCATCCATCCATCCATCCATCTCTCCCCAGTGCCCTCCTTCCATCCATCCTCCCTCCATCTCCCACATCCCTCCATGCCCCCATCCATCCATCCCTCCCTCACACCCCGCCCTCCAGCTTCTCCACCCACCCAACCCCCATGAGTCCAATCTCTGGGTCCATACGGGCCCCGCTCCTCACCAGGCCAGTGGGGCCTCACCCAGCAACGAAGCGGCTTGCGAGCAATCCCAATAAACGGAGGCCGAACTGGGGTTTGGGCGAAGGCATCTTGTCTCAGCGCCTCAGGGACCCTGGACGGTGCGCGAACGCAGCCGGGGGGATGACAGTGGTCACTCCCGGGAGTGTCGTCAGCTCCCCGTGTGAGAGATGGGAGACCTGAAATTAACCACCAGCGCCCGCTCCCCTCCCAGAGCCGGGGAGAGAACCCAGGAGTCCTGGCTCCCAGCCCCCACTCCCCTCCCAGAGCCGGGGAGAGAACCCAGGAGTCCTGGCTCCCAGCCCCCCCCATTGTCGCTGGGTGGCTCACGCCCAGCAGGGATGGTAGCTGGGAGACCCATTAGCAGTAGGGGGCAGTGGGAGGGGGCACAGCTGGTGCTGAGCTCTGACAGCCTGGGGGGGGAAGGAGTCCGCAGCCCCCCCGCTGCAGCCTCTCTCCAGGTGCTGGTGTGAGCAGGTCACAGACGCCAGCTCCGATCCATCACCGCTGTTGGGGGGGGATAAAGGGGGGGGGCTTGTATCTCTTTTTCCTCTCTCCCTCTCCTTTCTCCAGCCCTGGGGTGGGCCCCCTCTCCAGCATATTGATCCGGGCCCCTACCCCACTCCCCTCCCAGAGCCGGGGAGAGAACCCAGGAGTCCTGGCTCCCAGCCCCCACTCCCCTCCCAGAGCCGGGGAGAGAACCCAGGAGTCCTGGCTCCCAGCCCCCACTCCCCTCCCGAGCCGGGGAGAGAACCCAGGAGTCCTGGCTCCCAGCCCCCACTCCCCTCCCAGAGCCAGGGAGAGAACGCAGGACTCCTGGCTCCCAGCCCCCCCTGCTCTAACTCAGCTCAGTGGTGGGGAAAGGGGGGGTCTGTATAGAATGGGGCAAATTGAGGGGTCCCTCCCTTCTGTCCAGCCCCTGCCCCCCAAGTTGGGTTTACGGGGTCCCGTGGGGGGGGGTGAAGGACACTTCGGCCAAGACCCCCACTCATCTCAGTGCGCGGATTCCTGTTCTGTTCAGCTGCAGACTGGGGACGGGTGGAGTGGGGGGCGCTGTGACTTCATCAGCTTGCCCCCGCCCCCACGCACCCCTGCTGGGAGAAATTAAGGAAAAACTCATCATGTTTAATAGTCAGCAGCCGAAAGGTCAGGGGGGGTGGGGGGGAGCCCCCAGCTGGGCCGAGACCCGTTAACCCTCCCAGCACCAGAACCGAGAGCATTGAAAGGGGGGGCAGTGACGGGTGACCCATCACTGGGGGGAGAACAAAGTTCATTCCATAAAGGGCCCTGTGAGCCCCCACTCTTTGCTAAGAGCTGGGGAGAGAACCCAGGAGTCCTGGCTCCCAGCCCCCCTGCTCTAACCCACCAGCCCCCACTCCCCTCCCAGAGCCAGGAGAGAGAGAGTTGGAGCTGGTGGGTTAGAGCGAGGGGGGGCTGGGAGCCAGGACTCCTGGGTTCTCTCCCTGGCTCTGGGAGGCAAGTGGGGGGCTGGCGGTTAGGTCAGAGGGGCTGGGAGCCCGGACGCCTGGGTTCTCCCCACAACTCATGCTGGCGGGAACAGACAGGACCACAGAGCCTGTGGGTGGGAGGAAGCACCAGAACTGGTTTTATTGGGAATTGCTCATGGCATTTCAGGACCCCCCAAAGCACCGGGGAATGGGACGGCAGAGCCCCCCCGGGCAGGGAGTGGTGGGGGGCTGGCACCCCCAGGGGGCAGGGCTAGCAGGAGGTGAGGGTTTTCCAGTAGAAGCTCTTGCAGCCGGCTTTTCGCTCCCGGGGGGTCGCGGGGGGCAGGTGCCAGCGGGCGGCTGCATCCTGGGCAGACAGATCAGCGCGCAGGAGCCCGGAGCGGGCTTTTCGCACCAGGGCCCAGGACAGCGCCTGGGGGGGAGACACACCAAGAGTCACCCCGTCCCTCCCCCACTCGCAGAGAGAACCCTGGCTCCCTGCTCCAACCCACCAGCCCCCACTCCCCTCCCAGAGCGGGGGGGAGAACCCAGGAGTCCTGGCTCACCCCCCCCATTCCTGGTTCTACCCCACTTCCCTCACCTTCCTGTAACCCCTAAATCACCCTGAATTACTCTCTCTCCTGACTGGGGGGACCCCCAAAATAGCTCTCAGAGCCCCGCTCCCCTGGCCGTTCCCAGATGTGCAGCCCCAGCTGTATACCCAGGGCTAGTTCTGGGAGGGAGAAGAGAGATGAGGGGGCTGGGTTGGGGGGGCGTTCTGGGAGAAATGGGGAGCAGGGGAGATTGCCCGGCCCACCCCCAGACTCCCATCGGGGTCCACCCTGCTCAGGAAATGGGGGATCCCCATCTGACCCTTTCAACACCCCCTCCATGGCACCCCCTCTCTCCACAGCCCCCCAAATCTCTAGCCCCCCAGGATCCCCTCAATCAACACAGCACCCCTCATTCCCCCTGGAGCACCCCATCTCTATAGCCCCCCAGGGCCACCCTCTCAAAATCTACAGCCCCCCCATCACTCTGGGGGACCCCAATTTCTGCACACCCCCTCTCCATGCAAAAATAACCCGACCACCCCCAATTTCTGCAGAGGGCCCCAAACTCCGCCAGGGCACCCCCCAATTCCTGCACAGCCCCCCATACACTTCCAACCCCCAATCTACACCGCAGCACCCCCAACTCCCCCGGGAGCACCCCCATCTATGCAACACCCCTTGCTTTTCCCAGAGCCCCGGAATTTCATCACAGCCCCCCTGACATCTGAGGTGCCCCCCCAGGGTATGCAGTACCCTCAACCCCCTGGAACACCCCAAAACTAGACAGCAACAATACTCCATCCCCCCAATCTGTGCGGCACCCCCAAACTCCTCAGGGCTACTCCCAATCTACACAGCACCCCAATCACCATCTGGAGCACCCCAATCTCTATATAGCCCCCCCAAGCTATACAGCACCCCCCAAACCCCAGCATCAGTCCCCCCATCCCTCCTCAATCTCTACAGGACCCCCCAGCCCTCCAATCCCTGCAGCACCCCCAAATTCCCCCTTCCCCCCGCCAGGGGCCCTCTGACCATACCCCCCCCCATCTCACCTGGCTCCCCAGGTGGGGGGCACGGAGCTGGGGGGCACTGGCGGGCACCCCAGGGCGCAGTGCGGAGCTGGCGAGGAGAAAGAGGAGGAAGAAAAGCGGGGACCTCATGGTGCCAAGGCTCACCCCCAAAACCAGCCGCCTCACACGGAGATGGGAAGCAGCCAAGTCTTGTGTGTGACCAGCGCCCCCCCCCTGCCTGCCTCTTATATACCCCCCCTCCCAGAGGCCAGCCAATGAGCCGCCAGGGGTACGTGGGGGGGGTGTGGGCAGGCAGGGGGTGCCAGGAGGGGGGATCCCACCCCCCACAGGGTCCCAGTGGCTCCTCCCCATCCCCACCCAGACTCACACCCCTGGGAGGCAACCAAGCGAAGGAATCGCCGGGGGGTGGGAGGTGGAAGCCTCCTGGGAGGGTCCAGACAGACACAAGAGGGACCCCCCTGCCCCAATTCTGGCCTCTCGCCCCCCTCCCCGTGAGCTGGGGAATTTGTGGGGGGGGGCAGGGGAGAGTTAAAGACTGTCCAGCACTTGCTTTCTTCCCAAAAAGCCCGCGCCCCCCAACTCCCTCCCACTAGCCAGTCTCCCCCTCCTCAGGGCCAGGTGGGAGCTGGCGCCCCCTAGAGGGGACAGGCCCCTGCCCCATTCCCCAGCTCCCTGCGCCAGCCAGTCCCTGCCCTGGGGCCGGATGGGACCCGGCGTCCCCTGGGAGTGGGGGGGAAATCGTTCGTTTCAATGCGCGCCAGCTGCCAGTGCTGAATTCGGGGGGGGGATTTAAAAAAAATAACCGTCTCTGCGTTAGAGCTGACCAGTTCTTGACTCGACTGGTCTTTATTCGATCTCGTCTGCATGGCTAAAGAGGAGCCGACCGCTGGATTGAAAAACGAACGAGGAATCATAGTACATTGATAAGGGAAGCAAAAGGGCCACAAAGAGCTGTGGCCTGCACAGTTAAGGACAGTAAGGAGGTGGGTTGTTGTTTTTTTAAATCATACTAAGACAAACAGACATCTAGGAACAACAAACACAGGCCATACTTACAGGGTGGGGGGGCTTTATCCCGGGAAGTGGGGACTCTGAAAGAGATTTGGCCGGCATGGTGGAGGAGCAGCAGCTGAACACGAGCTCCCAGGGCGACGCTGTGGCTAAAAGAGCGAATACGCTCCTGGGAGGTATAAACAGGGGAATCTGGAGCAGGAGGCGCAGAGAGATGATTTTATCTCTGAATTTGGCCCTTGTGCAACAGCGGTGGACTCCCATGTCCGGGTCTGGCGCCCACAATTCAAGACGGACGGGGCTAAAGTGGAGATGGAAAAGAGCCACATGAAGGATTAAAGAATTAGAAAACCGTCCGTAGTGGGACCGCCTCACGGAGCGCCAGCGATTTAGCTTAATGCAGAGAAGGTTAAGAGGCGACTTTGAGGGATGATTTCAGGGCAGGCCCGTGGCCGGGGCTGTACAGGTCAGACCGGATCACAGCGGTCCGGGTGTCGGAATCTAGAAAACCCAGGAGATCTGGCTCCCAGCTCCCCTGCTCTAACCCACCAGCCCCCACTCCCCTCCCAGAGGCTGGGAGAGAACCCAGGAGTCCTGGCTCCCAGCTCCCCTGCTCTGACCCACCAGCCCCCACTCCCCTCCTAGAGCCGGGGAGAGAAACCAGGAGTCCTGGCTCCCCCCCACCCCCGCTCCAACCCACCAGCCCCTACTCTCCTCCCAGAGACGGGTATCGAACGCAGGAGTCCTGGCTCCCAGCCCCCTGCTCTGACCCACCAGCCCCCACTCCCCTCCTAGAGCCGGGGAGTGAACCCAGGAGTCCTGGCTCCCAGCCTCCCCTGCTCTGACCCACCAGCCCCCACTCTCCTCCCAGAGCCGGGGAGTGAACCCAGGAGTCCTGGCTCCCAGCCCCCTGCTCTGACCCACCAGCCCTCACTCCCCTCCCAGAGCCGGGGAGAGAACCCAGGAGTCCTGGCTCCCAGCCCCCTGCTCTGACCCACCAGCCCGCACTCCCCCCCAGTAACGCCTCTGAACAAAAGAAAGCAGGACATTGTATTGCCAAGAGTGAAAAAACAAATCTTTAATCCATCCCCACGGCCCAGAAAGGGGGAGGGTGTTTATAGAGTTGGGGGGGGGGGGAAGAGGGTGAAGCATGCAATGGAAATCGTTAATGGTGATGAAGGAACCCCCTCCCCTCCCCCAGCCAGGGATAGAACCCACGAGTCCTGCCTCCCCCCACTCCTATTCCCCTCCCAGGAGCCTGGGATGGAACCCAGGCATCCTGATACACACAGCTGGGGGGTTGTTAGGGTCCAAAGGGCCACCCCCAAAACAGGTGGGGAGTCAGGGCTCCTTCGGGAAGGGGCAGCCCCCCCCCATGACCCTCCAAAAAACAAACTGACCCCAAATTTGGGAGAAACCCCAAATCCTGAGCATCCCCCCACCCCTCATAAACTGGTCTCTGAATCCCTGGAGTGGGGAGAAATACAACCCCCCCAGTAAGAAATATTGGGGATACCTGCTGGGGAATTAAGGGGCAGCCTCCCCCCCCCCCAGGGCACAGCTGATATTTCAGCTGAGGGGAGGGGCAGGAGAGAACCTTCCCCGGGAGGGGGCGGGGCCAAGAGGCTGGGGGGGGCAGGGCCAAGAGAAATGTGGGAGGGGCAAATAGACAGGTTCACTTCCTGTCCAGCCACCAAGCCCCGCCCCCTGCTTTATACCAGCTGTGGAGGGGGGGTCCAACCTCACCCCAATATTAGAGCAGGGTGAATTCCACCTCTCCTTTTGCTGCCACCCCCCCCCCTTGTCTCGACCTTGGGGCCGGGGCTGAGGAATTGGGGGGAGGCAAGGGGCAGAGGGGACCCCAAATTAACAGCTGTTGGCAGAGCAGGGACTCTGGGAGGGCAAACGTACCCCCAAAGTGAAGGGAGAAATGGGGGGGGGCAGAGAGGGGTTAATAGATGACAATGGAGCTGGGGGTAACAAGAAATGGGGGGCTCTGCCCCCCAAAATGATGGGAGAAGTGGGGTGCAGGGAGACCCCAATATTAGATGCCGACATAGCCAGGGGCAGGAATCTGGGGGGCACAAGGCAGGTTCTTTGCCCCCTAGGGGATGGGAGAAACAGGGTGTGGGGGGACCCCAAATTGACTGATACTGAAGCAGCTGCTGGCATTGAGGGCAGACAGGGCCCCCACCCAGGGCAGAGACCTGGGGGTGAGCGGGGAGCTGAGCCCCCCCGAGCCCTCAGCAGTCAGTGGTGATCTTCGAGGAGAGCTCCTGGATGCGCCGGGCACTGCACGACTTGCACAGGATGTGCCCGTCCAGGGGGTAGCAGCCGCGGCCCTCGCCCTCTGATGACAGCAGCAGCCCGCACTCCTGGGGCGGGGGGACAGAGTCTGTTAGAACCTAGGCGTCCGGGCTCCCAGCCCCCTGCCCTAACCCACCAGCCTCCACTCCCCTCCCAGAGCCGGGGAGAGAACCCACGAGTCCTGGCTCCCAGCCCCCTGCCCTAACCCACCAGCCTCCACTCCCCTCCCAGAGCCGGGGAGAGAACCCAGGAGTCCTGGCTCCCAGCCCCCTGCTCTAAGCCATCGGCCCCCACTCCCCTCCCAGAGCCGGGGAGAGAACCCAGGCATCCGGGCTCCCAGCCCCGCTCCCGCACCTCACACTTGTAGCACCCAATGTGGAAGCTCCGATCCAGGGCCACGATCCTGACCGTCTCCTCCTGCCCGGGCTCGGGCATGATGGCGTTGCCACACACGGAGCAGCGTGGGGCGAACTTCCTGCGGGCCAGAGAGAGGGGAAAGGAGAGCTCAGGGCTGGGCTGACAAGGGGCGGGGCTACAGGCTAGGGGGCGGGGCCGTACCGGTGGAAGTCCTCGATGCAGTGGACCTGGCTGGTGGCGTCCACGGTGAAGGGGACCCCGTCCAGGCAGTGGTGGCAGACGACACAGGTGAAGCACTGGGGGTGATAGGCCTTGCCCATGGCCCGCAGGATCCGGTCCAGGATGGGCTTGGAGCACCTGGAGCATTTCTCCAGCGTCACCTGGAGGGAGGGGAGAGCCGTGGGTCTGGGGCCAGCTCCCCCGCCCCCCCGCAGCTGTAACCCACCCGACACTACTCCCCTCGCCGAGCTGGGGACAGAACCAAGGAGTCCTGGCTCCCAGCGCCCCCTGCTCTGACCCACCAGCCTCCACTCCCCTCCCAGAGCCGGGGAGAGAACCCAGGAGTCCTGGCTCCCAGCCCTCCTGCTCTAACCCACCAGCCCCCACTCCCCTCCCAGAGCCAGGGAGAGAACCCAGGAGTCCTGGCTCCCAGCCCTCCTGCTCTAACCCACCAGCCCCAACTCCCCCCCCAGAGCCAGGGAGAGAACCCAGGAGTCCTGGCTCCCAGCCCCCCCTGCTCTGACCCACCAGCCCCAACTCCCCCCCCAGAGCCAGGGAGAGAACCCAGGAGA